TATCAACATAATTTATTAATATTATAATTGCTAGCAAGAATGGTACAGGTTGGATACTAAGAGATAAATTCTGTAGAAAAGGTACATAAATAATTGGATCTATAAACATATTTTATGAATGGAGTAAAATTTAACTTTCTCGGGTATTATAAAATATAAAAAGTGAAGAGTGTTTTTAAGTAATATGTTTTATTATATACCATATGCGTAACAAATATTCTGTTATACTGATAAGCAATATTGTACAAAAAAATATTTCTGTTGCTTGAACTTCGAGTTCTAGGCAAAGATTCACAGATATCATAAATGTAGTATTCATCGCAGGGTTTTGCATAAAAATAACGGAAAAAACTAATTAGCCTGAGAAATAACAATAATGATCAAAATTGATATAAATTTATTATATTTAGTATTATTATTATGATTTAAAGGCGGAATATTTTGCCTACATTTCATTGCTGAAAAGATGGTAGTGGATTTTTTGGTACTTTTTTTTTTCGCCGACGCAAATCTTGCCAAGAAGACTTTATTGGCGAAAACACATGGTATACACATAAAAAATGTTGACAAATGTTAGTTCTAAGAATTTTTTATTTTGAAGGTATAAACATTTTAATGTCGTTTAAAATTTCGTAAAAAAACCAATAATAAAGACAGTAAATTTGTAAAAAGACAGTAATTTAAGTAAACTACGCTAAAAAAATCTAATTCTCTCAGTAATTATCTACATTAATTTCAAGTTAAATCTTAATTTGGAATACAAGTTTAAATGCAAGAATTATTTCAATTCGTACGAATAGCTTAATCAGAAATTATGTAAAACCTCAATGCTTTACTTCGCTAGTGCATTCTCATTAGAATTGATGAATTTAACATTTGCCTTTTCTATATTTTCGCCATTGGGTGAGCGGTGTGATTGCATCCTAATTGACTTAATTACCAACCGCGAATGGCCTTAGGGCATAAAACTGAACTATCTGGTAAAAATTCTATGTAATTGTTATGAAGCATTGAAAGAAACAATCTGATAAGAAATGGCTGCAACTTGTTTTAAATTGTAAAAGTTAAAGTTACCTGTGAGGATATTTCGTTTCACGTCGCTTGTACCATTACTGGTGACTTTATGTAAAAGGTTACCAGCGAGGATATTTCGTTTGGCATCGGTTGTACCATTACTGGTGACTTTATTACTTGCGCCGGCAAAACGGAAAATTACTGATTTTTTTTTTTTTTTTTACAAAGGGTGTTAGCTCAGAAGAGCTATTGATTTCGTTTTGGCATTTTGCCTTAATTCACTTTCTGCATTGATTCACTTTTCAAATTGTTGCCACCTAATATTATTGTCATGTATTGAATCTGCCTGAATGCATGAATGTTTCTCGCATTGTGGTAAAACAACGGTACCTAGAGTACGGTACCATCAGATTTTAAATAATGTAATCTTTCACCAACATTTTTATCTCCAGTGCGTGAGACTGTGTATCGGAAATTCTAAAGATATGCTCATTTTAAAATTATTTTACAATATTGCTGTTGAATTGAATTTTATGGTTTAAGTGCGAAGAACAAGATATTTAATAAATAAAGGTAGCACAGAAAAAGTTACCAGTCTAGACCAGAAAAAGTCTCTTTGGTCGTAATGTAAAATCTGAAAGCTTTCAGATTTTCAGCCCAAGGGGCGTTAGTTCAGAAGGGCTAGTAATTTCGTTTTGGCAATTTGCATTGAATACTTTAAATGTCGGTTCACTTTTCAAATTGTTGTCACCAAGTATTATCGCTCTGTGTTATATTTAAAGAAATTAAATAATGAAGAATCTCATAAATGTAGGTATGTTTCTCGCATTGTGATAAAACAACGGTACAAAGCCATCAAATTTTGAATAACGTGATCTTTCATTGAATAAGCGCATCTGGAAGCCCTAATTTGGAGTTTGAAATTTGTTTTATTATCGATTTCATATTTTGTAACACTTCAACGAATTTTTTATTAACAAACTCAACTGTTTCAACGCGACCAATGGCAAAACTGTATGGGGGGTTTACCTCCAGCCTGCGAGACTATGTGTCGGAAATTCTAAAGATATGCTTATTTTAAAACTACTTTATGATATTGCTGTTGAATTGAATGTTATGGTTATATTGGTGCAAAGAACATTTAATAAATAAAATGGTAACACACAAAAGGTAAAAACAAAAGTCCATTTGAGCGTAATGTTAAATCTGAAAGCCTTCAATTTTTTTTTTTTTTTTTTTTAATGTTTACGCTAAGAGGTCTTTGCTGTGTGAATGTATCTCTGTTTCGCATATTGATGAATGAAAGAAAAACGTAACATTTTTTCCGTAGTACTGTTTTTGGCTTTTTGCCATTTTCTAAATCACGATTGCTAACCGTACGAGAACTATATTGTATCGGATCATTCATCTTTTGGAAAAGCTGTTCTGTCATATAGTTCTCACACTGTGATAAAACAACGGTACTTGGAGTCATCGGTTTTTGAATAACGTAATCCTCCACCCGAATATGGGCAACTGGAAGCCCAAATTTGGAATTTGTTTTATTATCTACTTCATATTTTGTAAAACGTTACAGAATTTTTGATTAACAAACTCAAAAATTTAAAAGCGAGAAGTGGTAGCACTTTAAGGGAGGGGAGGACATTTTTATCTCATACTTTCACTAGACGCGCATCCGATCGTCTATCACAAGTTCTAAAGATATGCTCTTTTGAATATGCAGTTTTTTGAATAAATATAGTACTCCATCCAAACATTTGTACCTTGAAAGAGGCCTGAATTTTAAATTTTGAGTTTTTTTTTAAATTTCGTATTTGTGAGTTTAATGCCATTTTGATCAACAAACTCCATGATTTAAAAGACATGCTGCCACTTGGCAAAAGTGTAATATGTATATATACAACATTATATATATATATATACAGTCAAAAGTCGTTAATCCGGACATCCATAATTCGGAATAATCTATAATCCGGACCTCAAAGCTACAAACTTCTTGCGCATGCGTCAACGCATAGTGCATTCACGCATGCGTATAGGCGTTTACGCATGCGCATAATACTTTTACGCATCCGCATAATACGTTTACGCATGCGCGTTTAATGTATAACGGACGGTATAAGCTAAGCTAAAATTATCTAATTATCTATTTCAGTTAATGTTGCAGATTGCGTTGTTCCTTAATCTTCGAATTGGATCCGGCTTATTATTTTTTGCAGACTGTTAGAGCAATTTTATAAAAGTAAGCTTGAACTTTCGATTATGTCAAATAGAATTTCCGATATATATTTACTAATATGTAAAGGATCTACAAAGCGAAAGTATGTTTCGAAGTCCATTAAACAAAAAGTGGAATTGCTGCAAAAAATGGATAAAGGCATATCCTTTGTTTCTCTAACCATTCCGAAATCTGTTTATCAATTTCACGCTGCTCTGCGGGGGGGGGGAGGGGGGGGGGAACGCCGCGGCGCGCAATGAATTGGAAGTTGATCTGTCAGCACTATCCTTATCTTCAGGGCAGATGTTTTTATTTTATTTGGCTTATAATTCCTTACTAAATGTAGTATTTCATCTCGATGTACTCCGTCTTTGATATTAAATCAAAATTCCTCGTCATTATAATTCGCTTCCGATAGTGAAGAAAGTGACACAGAGGTTATTGAAAACAAAAAAATTTCGATTGACAAATTAGTCGGTATTCTCGACACAGCAATTATAGGACTTGAACAGCGGAACTTTTGTAACTGAACAAGAAATTATGTCTGTTTATAGAATTAAAAAGAAAGTATTATCACATAAAACGAAGCAACTTAAACAACTTGCATTGAAAGAAATGTTTAATAAAGTAAACAAATAAATATTAAGCTTTTTTTTTTTTTTTTTTTTTGTAAATTTTGATACCCTTTAGATCATAATTGTTCTTTATTTCATAAATTACGGTTTCATATTTTTAATTTTATAATTTCTGCATGCCATCTTACCAGATTTAAACTGATGATCTATAATCCGGAAAAAATATCGGAATCGCCGAAGTCTCGACGAGTCCGGATTAGGGACTTTGTACTGTATATATAATATGTATACAAAAAATGGAACTTTCTGAATATCCAATCTATGAGCTCTGAAAAATCATGAACTCAGTGCCAACGTTGGAGAACATTCATGAACTCATTGGCTACTAACTTTTTGCCAGCTAATATATGAAAATAATGTTTTCAAATATTCAATTGAGGAATTCCATACAAAAGCAATCAAGCAGTAACATTGAAAAAGCAAGAAACATTGATAATAAAATGGCTTTTTCAAGAAATCCTTTGTTGTGCTTTTATGCTCACCATTTACACAGCAGTTTGTTTGTGCTTAAGAAAAACATTGTTTAAACATTGTAAAACATTGTTGAAAAACATTAAAATTTGTTTGTGTAGTATTGCACAAACATGGCTTACAACATCAACATTGTGCCAGTCAAAGCAGATGTGCTAGATGCATACTTAGGTTGCCGCATAAATACATTTTTGTCAGTGTCTTGGGTTGCATCATACTTTTTTTTTGCAACATACTGTTTTGCCTTATGAGTACGGTTTTGCATTTTTTCAGTATGTCTGTGTTGGGAGGTGGTAGATAATCAGAAAGTGCTGATAAAATTATATCAGGAATTATAATATGAATTTTATCTTAGTTCATTGTAAATCATGTCTAAGGATATACTAGAGTTTTTATCATTTAGTAATTCATTATTTCAAATTTTTTATGCCAGAGTACTTAACAGAATTTTGCAGCAAAATTACTGTTCATAATTTTTTTTTAGGGAATGAATATTTTAAAGTTGAAATTTATTTTGAAACAAACAGCTGTTTAATTCTACATTTTAAATAAGTTGTGCGTATAGTTTAAGTTTTTCTGTAATATTACCATGCACTGTTTTCTAAAATCAGAAATTAAATAGATTTGCTAAATTATGATGAAATTTCTCACTTTTCATATAGATACGAAGTTATGTGGATCAATACCAGCCTCAGGGGGGCAGCAACTATCAACCGCCTGCTATGTTAAATTCTTATAGTGCAAGTCCACAGTATGGATCCTACACACCACAAGTGCCACCACATGGACCTCATCTTCAGCCTGTGTTTGACAGCCGTTCTTCTTTGGGTATGGATGGTATGGTAGAGATAGATGGTACAAATTCAACCCACCGCATGACCAACAGTCGTTTGAAGACTCTAATACATAACAGACAAAACCAAAGAGAACATGGACAGTTGATTCCAATTTGTAATCCAGTTCATGATCCTGCATATAATGCATCTCTTCCAGTATCACCTGTGTCGCAACAGCCTTCATATGCGCCACAGTACCTACCTCCTTCTAATCATCAAGAAGTGATTCACAATTCTATGCAATTTTCTGGACCTGCAGATAATTCCTCATCATCTCTCATGCATTTGCAGCAGCTGTCACCAAATTCCATAGAACCTCAAAGGCCTGTATCTCAAAGTTCACAGTCTGTCACATGGAGTGAAACTCCATCTAATATTTCTACTAAAACACCTGAAAATCCACCTCCATTAACTCAGAAATCTCCTGTAAAACCATCACAAAATGGGCATACTGAATCTTCCAGTGAGGCACAGGTCTCTGAAGAAACCAAGGGAGTCAATGGCAACGAAAAGCCATCTGATTCTTCTAGTAATAATTGTGCCTTAGATACTAACAGTGAGACTGTTGAGGTACAAAATCATTCAGCCAAAATTCTTCCAGAGACTGACAATAAATCAAGTGTTACATCTATTCAGGATAACAAAATACAAATTCCTTGTGATAGTGCTGCAAACCGAGTCCCTTTGCCTCCCCAATCTCCTTCTGCTACCCCAAGGTATGCTGCACCCGTTTCGGGCTTTATGTCTCCTACACATACCTATCGACATTTAGCCCCTCATCAGACTCTGACTTCTAATATACCACTGCAGCAAAGCTGTATGCCTCCTCCACCTACTATGCCACCTCCTATGACAACTGTAATGCCATACTCTTCTGCAAATGGTGGAACTACAGGACATATGACCAGTGGTACATCCTTAAATCCTATTCCTATACCAAATGATACGAACTGTGATGAGTCCAATCAATCGTCTCCTTTTTTATTGAATACGACCACATCTATGAATACATATACAAATATTACCAGTATATATAATTCTAAGCTATCTTTTTCTAATGCTACTTGTTTGCCAACATTTGCTTTAACCAGTGTGAGCAACAGTTCCCAAACATATGTCAGCTCACATTCCTATAATTACAGTAGGCAGCAAATGCATTCGAATTTCCCCAGTAGCAGTGCTGGAATGCTTCCGAAAGGGGGAGGCACCTCAGTGTCATACATAGATAGTGGTCGTATTCAGGACTCGTTCAACAGATCGGACATTCCACTTGATTGTCAACAAGACCTCCCCCTTCAACCATCCACACAAAATTGTGTTCCCCAATTTTCAAGCAACTGGTCAAAATATGCAGTCAGTAGTTCACCTGTTAATAATTGCTCTTCTTCCGTTGCAACAAGTCTAGAAAATAAGAATATGTGTTCTTTAGAAAGACTGGAGAAGTTACGAAATAATACAAAGTTAGAACCTCCACAGTGTAACTGCCTAAAAAATAAAGAAGGTGAGGAGTTTTGAAATAACTCATATTGTTTTTTGAAATTTCCTTTCTATTTTTTATCAATAAGTTTTACATAACTTTCAGAAACGCTAATGATGATTAGCCAGTTTACTTCATATATGTATGACAGTTATAGATATAATAGAGTTTTTAAAATAATTGTTATAATTCCTTAAAATAATAGGCATAGTTATGGGTAATAAATAAAGTGATAGAAGTGTAGTCTAAGAGCTTTTAGTTAAAAACTCATGTGTTAAGACAGGGTTCTTTTAATCATATTAAAAGATATATATTTCATTGTAAAGGCATATTGTTTATAGTAATTCAGTACAAATCAGCCTTTTTTATTTTTATTTTAGTGATTATTTAAAAAAAAAATTTTATCATTCAGTTACAGTGAGGTACCAAAGTGTTTGATACATCTAACAAATAAGATGGTGCTGCTACTTCTGTTTGAATAACTATAGCTACTTAACATAGCATAAAGTCAATAAGGTGTTGGAGGTATTGCAAGAATATGTCAAGACATGCATATGCTGTAGTTGCTCATAATGGAGCCCTAAGTGCTAGATGTAACTGCAAAACGTTTAATGAGGTATCCTTTATAAGAGCTTAGTATCATTTGAATCTGTTGCATGAGGGCTGAGTAAGAACAGAATAATTAATAGAATGTTTTTGTCACCTGGGATGGGGAAGTTTGTTTTATCTTGCTGGTGCAAACCATCATAGCGCTATTAATCTGCACGATTTAAGTCACTTCTGTCAAAAAAGATCCCATTGATGTAGTTGCCCTTTCTCTTCTTATCTGAAGCTAACTCATGTCTTGTTTAGAGCCATCATCAGTTTACACAATACCATGCTGACTTGATGGAAGTATCTCTTGCAGTCCTTTTCCGACATGAATTGTATCTTCTACAAATAGCTGAAAATATGATTCATTTAAACTTACCACACAGCACTACTCATTTGGGGTTGAATGATGATACTCCGAGCCTAGCATGTCGCATTACATGATGCCATGGTGTCAGCAATGCAGTTTGTTGATTGTAATATATTATGAAATTTATTTTATCATATAGCAGACATAGCCAAACTGTGGTTTGTGAGCTACTTACTATTCTTTGTCATCTGAAATGGGACTTGTTTTGGCTAAATATACTGTAATTTTTTAATGCAAATGGAATTTAAAATAAGAATCACGAAGTGCCATGTTTCTTTATTAATCACTAATTGAATTTCTGATATTATGTATGTAAAAATTTGATAGATTTCAAACTGTCCTCTGCTGACTTATCGCCAGACCGACAAATACGTAAAATTAAAAATAATTCTATTCCTGTTATATTACTTTTTGAACAGGTAATGGTCATCGGAATACACTAATTCAAAGTTAATTTAAAACTGGATGCTAATATTTTTATTTAATTTATTCTCCCTAATATTTTTTATCTCAAGTTAATTTCACTTCAGGCAAATTTGTCTACATTCCTGTGTGATCCACCTGAAAGATTTGCTATTTGTTTTAAGATATTACTTTTCTTCAGTCCTTGAATGGCATGAGTAACTGCTGAAGAAACCTGTTTTACCTTGCAGTATATATAGAGCACTTATAATCTCTGGAATAATTTGCAAGGATTTTTATTTTTGGTGGAGTGAACCTTCAGCCTCTTACTTGGTTAGGAAAATCTCAATTTTCTACAGAACTCCTTCAAAATTAATCTCCTATCCCTAAGCAAGTCAGGCATTTTTAATGCGATTGCTTCATATATTTCGCAACCATTCACAATAATGAATACTTTTCCAACACGAAACTCTTTCATAATAATTCGTTGCTAATCCTAGGCAGAGATCAAAATTTGTTTCGTCACTTGTTGGGTATGCTAAAATATTTGGAGTCGTGGGAAGAATCACTCGCTTGACAGTGATTTTAGTCAAAATGTGTAATTTCCATGTTATCAAATATTCTTATTCCAGATAGAGATCTTTCAATCATCAAATCTTCATATCAATAACATTGCATCAAGCAGTGAGGGATCAACAGATTACAAACATCTCTCTTCTCCAAAGTTTCTATCAAAATCTGCATATTGATATTGGTGAAATCTTTTTAGTTTGTGATATTTTCTTATGTTTTTCGATTTCTTGTTTGATGACCCTTTTTTTTTTTTTTTTCCTATCTCAAACTAGGTTAGACGCATTTTGCTGCACTAGGTTAGAGTCGCCAATAAATATTGCACTAGGTTAGAGGCATTTTGCTGCCTGGCTTATCTAAAATATTTCATGCCTTAGTACTCTCACTCTGCAGCTGCATCAGTTGCCCTGTCTCTGATGCCAGCATTATACTTCTTTTAATCTAGTGATATTTTTTGTCTTTCTAATTTTCTATCATCATGTATGTCTGACACATCCTTCATGAAAGCTTAGTAGTCAAACGAAAATTGTACAATGATCCACTGCTTGATCACTAAAAAATTTCAGGCTACAATACAGAACAGTAGATATATGGTGTATTTCTTCGTATTTATATGTAATCACATATTCATTAATTTACTTTAAAAGTTTCTTTATATTCAAAACCCGTCTTATTATTTTTGAAACAATATAAATTTGAACTTGTGGCTCTCAAACATTCATAAAATCTATCATGCAGCTCCCATCATCATAAGGTTTGGCCATGCTTATCATATAGTATATTGATTTTGGTATATGATTGATTTTGGTTTAAATGGCATCGGCATTGAATTGAGATATTATGTGACGTAATTCTCTCCCCTTTTGGTGATTATCATCTTTCTTAGCTGCTGCTGATCCCATTCTTATATTTACTGTTTGCACGTGATGTAGATGTTTGTCTGGAACTGATATATTTCTTTGTTATTATCGTTCACAAAAACTTATACAGTCAAAAGTCGTTAATCCGGACTCGTCGGGACTTCGGCGATTCCGGATTATCGATTTTTCTGGATTATAGATCATCAGTTTAAATCTCGTAAGATGGCATGCAGAAATTCTAAAATTAAAAATATGAAACCGTAATTTATGAAATAAAGAACAATTATGATCTAAAGGGTATCAAAATTTACAAAAAAAAAAAAAAAAAAAAAAAAGCTTAATATTTATTTGTTTACTTTATTAAACATTTCTTTCAATGTAAGTTGTTTAAGTTGCTTCGTTTTATGTGATAATACTTTCTCTTTAATTCTATAAACAGACATAATTCTTGTTCAGTTACAAAGTTCCGCTGTTCAAGTCCGTTAATTGCTGTGCCAAGAATACCGACTACTACTTGTCAATCGAAATTTTTTTGTTTTCACTAACCTTTCTGTCACATTCTTCATGTCTTTATCCATTTTTTTTTCAGCAATTCCACTTTTGTTTGTTGGACATCGAAAGATACTTTCATTTGTGTATCCTTTGGAAGTTCCAAAATTGGAAATTCTATTTGACATAATCGAAAGTCAGTTCAGTTTACTTTATAAAATTGCTCTTACAGTCTGCAAAAAATAATAAGCGGATCCAATTCGAAGATTAAGGAACAACCCAAATCATTAACATTAACTGAAATAGATAATTAGATAATTTTAGCTTACACCGTCCGTTATACATTAAACGCGCAGGCGGGAAAACATTTAGGCACGTGCGCACGCACACGCATATGCGCAGTAGTCAAGGTCTTACGCGCACGCTTAAAACGCCTGTGCACATGTGCCAACGCGGCGCATGCGCAGAAAGTTTTTAACTTTGAGGTCCGGATTATAGATCATTCCGTATTATGGGTGTCCGAATTAACGACTTTTGAATGTATATATTTATCACATCAGAGATAGAAGTTCTTTGTTCTTCTGGCCCATGTGTAACCTCATTAAAATGGTGATCAAAACATATATCTACCAGATGCATATCGAGAAATGATTCATTGCCAAGGTTCGTAGTATGTATTAGTATGTATATATCTGTTATTGATCATGTATCTGAAAATGGGATTTTCTTTTTACATTTTTACAGCATTTGAGTCTGTACATTGTCTATTTATGGGTGTATGGATGCATCTTTGTCTTATCACTTCTCTCAAAATCTATTCTAGTTTTTCTTCTAGTTTCTTTTTCTGTTGCCAATACTTCATAAAATAATAAAATTCTATTTTCTGAAATTTTATTCATGCGTATATTTTTAGAATGTTAAGCATAAGTTTTTTCCTACTTTGTATTCATATTCTCAAGTACAGATTTTAGATCGGTGAAGGAATAACCCATACATTTATTTTGCTACAGTTTTAAGCCCTCTTTCATTATAATTCCTTAATGCTGTAAATATATATATAGATGTTCCTCTTTGTAGACTTAGATGCAGTGATGTAGAAATATTAATTGCAATGTTGAGATCCATAATGAAGAGCAACTTAGCAGCCGGGGCAGAGTTAATATTTATTTTTTATTTCAGTTGACAATTTTGACCACGATTCACTTGCCACTCTAATCCTGCCTATTTCCAGAATATTTACTTGTTAATATTGTTGCAATAAGAAGAAAGCAGCAGTCTAGTTTTGCTGAGTAGCAGAAGCAACATGCATGGTTATTTTAACATGGAAGCTTAGTAAGAGAAAGGTTTCGGTTCAAATAAGTTACATTATCATAATTATATAAAAGTCTTATGATAGATTAATCTAGAAATCATGCAGTCCAGAAAAAGTTATTACTAGTTTTAGAATAGAGAGGGAAGATATCCAAATTGAATGAGGAATTAAGAAGCTATTGCTAATATAATTTATAATTTTAATTTACATATATTAATTTATAATAATTTTTTATCTGACATGTACCACACGTGCACACACACACACACACATGTATGTATCTTACATACATCACACATACACACGTATGTATATATGCATATTTTTTTAAAATTGTATTGTACAAATTGTGTTGTTGCTGTAACTTTTGAAAATTAGTTTCAGATAACTAAAATTAATTTCATTTACTTCTATGTTTAGTATTGCCATCAGAAAAGTTGCCATATTATACTCACTTAGGAAGTGGAGCTTCCATTTCGGCCATACGAGAACTGATGGAGTGCAGGTATAATTTATTACAGTTTATTTATTTTTACTGAACTCCGCCATCATGAGATTTAATATATTGAATAAATATTATGTGGGTAAATGTGAGATTTTAGGTCTGTTGAAGACTTGATTCCAGCCATTATCATTGTATAGCATGTTTTTTTCACTTTCTAAAAGTCAATTATATTTTGACTCTACACTGTACAAAAGTGTTTTCAAATGACCTTGAAATTTGTGCAATAGGGATAGTCATGAATAAGATAATGACTTATTGTGGCACTTCCATTAGATACATTTTTCTGTCAGTTGACTGTAGTATTTCTTGTTGGCAATTTTTTTCAGAATTTCTTTAGAAAAATTGATAATAGTATTTGATTTCATGGGTTAAGAAATTGTAAAATACCTCTAAAATTCAGAAAAAAAAGTCTATAACATGTAATAATTTATGAAGATTAATTTTAATACTTTCTTCTTTTATAACTTAGTAGCAATAAAATAAAGGTGTGATAAACTGATTACTTGATGGTGTGTAAACAATTACTTTTCCCGTAATATATATTATGCATGACATTTTTCATACCAAATACCATACTGATGTAAATGTAAAAAGTTATTACTTAGATATACAATACAGTCCAAAATCTGGACGTCCTGTGTGAAGACCGACAGCAACCTTTTTTTTAGAATTTTTCATTAGAAATCTGTGTGAAATTTCACTTCACTAAATGAAATACATCCATACTGAAAAAACAATAATTTAGCAGCATAAATTTGTATTGATCGATAATTTGGTTCTGTAGCTGCCTTTTTACTTATCATACATTTCAAACCAAAATATTGTTGATTTTACACCTACTGAATAATTTATACCCCTGAGGGCAACCTGGTGAATCATTATTTATTATTATTATTATTATTATTATTTTTTGCTTTATTACCTCTGACTATCAACACAAGGCAAAAATAGATTTTGTAAATGATACTCATAGGTCAAAAGATACCCCAGGACTGGCACCAGACCTGGTGTGGCTGCACTGGGCGGCAAAATGAAGAGGCAAAATTTTTAGAATTTAGATAAGAACCAAGCAACAAAATTAAGGTATGGAAAATCTTTAGAATATAGGCAAGTCACCGAGATTCAAAATTTAGGGCCAGCAAAATTTTTAGGATTTATGGTAATGCTTGGCAACAGAATTTAGGACACCCAGAGACTGTATCACTAAAATATGTAGCACTAGCCCTGGATAAGCCTTAAGTATGTATGGGAACTTATTTTTCTAAGTCTTAGATAAGCCATAAGCATGTGCGGGAAATGTATGTTAGTGTAATACATAAATAATACAATTCAGGCTTAACTTCGTCAGCATGCTATAGGAACAAGAAAAAGAACAAACTATAAGAATAAGAACTATAGGAACAAAAAAATTTTGATTTGTGAGCGCACGTTTTAGCATGAATTTTTTACATAGCAGTTAGAGGACTTGAGGAATGGAACTTCGTAATTGAATTAAAAATTATGTCTATCTATAGAATTAATGAGAAAGTATTAACAAAAGAAAAAAAAGAAGCATCTTAAACAATTTTCAAACTAAACAAATAAGTATTAAATTTTCTTTTGTGAATTTTGATTCCTTCAAAGTCATAAATGATTCAATATTTCATATTTTTAATTTTATAATTTCTACATGTCATTTTGTTAGATTTAAGCTGATTTCCCCCCCCCCCCAAAAAAAAAAAAATCTGGGATCACAGACGTCACAATAAGTCCAGATCTCAGACTTTGTACTGTTAGTTATATCAGAGTAACGAAGTCACAAGATAGTTTAGGTGCACTTAGCATATTATCTATCGAGAAACAACTTCTGAGAGTTAAAACATTGCCCTCAATTTATGAAGATGTTTTTTGTTCTTCATTTGTGTCTATCATTAAAAAAAAAAAAAAAAAAAAAAAAAAAACTTTCCAGATAACCCATTTAGTGCTTCCGTGAAATATTTTTCTCTAATTTATGTTCTTCTTCTTTGTATTATTGTGTACATGTGGTTTTCATTTAAAAAATATAATGTAAAAAATTAGATTAGGAGAAATGTAAACAAAACTTATAATTTGCAAGCTTCTCTAACCCATGGTATCAGAGTGTAGGGATGATCGTCAGAATTCCGATCATCTGTATACCTTGGAACCAAGGTTACACAGATGTATTTATTTATTACACACAGATGTATTTATTTATTTTTGTATATGTGTGTTTAATAGGATTTGTTGGAAGTCAAAACAAAACTTTAACAATTAAAAAAAAATTAAGGTGGAGATTTTTTTAAAAATAATTTTAGTATCATAAAAATCATATGTTTCAAAATATGTAGTCTTCTTTTATATTATGCATTCAATGAATAATAAATCACAAAATGCTTCTTAATTCTTGAGCATGAATACTAGATTTGATTTAGAAATTACTGTGAATTTTAAAATGATTTGTATGCTTTTATCAATTGCTGACTTATGTGTTTACAACAATTTAAACTAGAACACTTTAACAGGGAATAGTTGTAATGATGGAATCAAAAAGGGTTCCAAGATTTAATATAATTTTAAGAGTTAATATAGTTTTCTCGTTGTAATATATATTTCATTTTTTGTTAATTGCAGATCGGGTGAAAAAGGAAATGCCATACGCATAGAAAAATTGCTATATTCTGGTAAAGAAGGGAAAACATCTCAAGGTTGCCCTTTGGCAAAGTGGATAATACGGCGTTCTGGACCGGAAGAAAAATTGTTGACTGTTATTCGGCATAGACCAGGTCACACATGCACAACTGCATATATAGTAATAGCTTTAGTTGCTTGGGAAGGTGTTTCACAACCTGTGGCTGACATGCTATACCAGACTGTTGTGTACAAGACAGTAAACTTTGGAATACCAACCCAAAGGAAATGTGGGACCAATGAAATGTAAATTATGAATTTGCATATGAAATGCATACTTGTATTTATTATAGTTTTTGTAAGAAACATACATATATTTATTTTAGTCACATTTCTTTTATACTAGAACTCCAGTTTTTCAGATCATTTGTTGCTCTTTCTAAGCCAAGTGGCAGAGGTAACAGGCTGGGCTTAGGCTAGGCTTATTACCAATTTAATAATGTATTTTAAAATTTATTTCTTTATTTAAATAATGTAAAATATAATAGAAGTAGAAAGGATTTTTTTGAAAAATTATTAAATTAATTTAGATGAAGATATGCAACAAATGGATTGCCTTGGAACAAATGGATTTGTATTTGGCAGTATGTAGTCTATAAATATTAATGAAAAACAGTTACATGTTGTATGCACTCAATGCATCTATAAGCTTTCAGGTATAACATTTTTCTTCAGTCATTTCCATTGAAGCTGATAAATAATAGCCTGCGGTTACTAATACATTTTAGTTGCTTCTAATAAAATATCTTTTTACACAAAGAAGCATAATTATTTGTTTGATTTTATCCAATTGATATGGATTTGGTGATTGAACAGAGAGAAGCAAAATAGCTTTGTTTGTTTGATGCAACTGTGGTCAATGTTAAACAAAAGAATCACTCAAGGTCAGCAGATTGCTTTCTGTTCATTAAAATTCTTCTTTAACGTCATCACAAGGACATTTCTGAAATTCAGAAAACTATAATGATGGGCAAAAAAGAGTTTCAAGAATTGATTTTTGGGATGAAGTCTACAGGCATTATAAACAAGAGCTATACAGATTGTGTAATTAATGAAACAATGAATAATTTGTTTTCTTTCACATCTTTTTATGAATGCAGATCCAAAATTTTGTAGGCATATTGTATACATAGCTTTTACTGCTCCTTCTTTATGAGTAATTTTATTCTTTTATTTCAAAAAGTGTCTGGTGTTACTTTAATAAAATAAAAAGACTATTCATTTTATTTTACTCAAATAAAAATGTAATTTCCTTGCGTAATTTTAATCTTTAAAAGATAGAAACAAGACTATGTGTTTAGTTATAGGATCTGTGCAAATAAATATTAATGCCATGCTCTTATTTCAATTGAAATGGAAATTAGTTCTATATTTATGTGAATAAAAAGTAGTTTTATTTCTTAATTTTATGAAGTGAAAGCCTCCCCCCAAAAACAGTAAATGGAGATTTAGCCTACGGAAACATGACCAGTTATCTATGTAAGCCATGGTCCCAGGTATATGATGTATGATGTTCTATAGTGCTCGAATTCTCAAATTACTTAGCTGCAAACTTTTATGATCGATTTAAATTTCGTCATTTTTAATAGCATATTGTATGTTTGTTAGTTCATATATGTGGTAGAGGGAGGTTAAAAAAGTATATAATTTCACAGATTTTTCTAGGTATGCGTTTAATTTCACATACTTTGAAGCCTTAATTATTCAATGCCTTTCATCACAGTTGCTGTCAATCTCAATGTGTTTATTCAGGAGATTAGATTCTGTCGCAGAAAAATATATACAGTACAAAGTCCGTAATTCGGACGTCCATTATCCGGAATGATCTATAATGCGGACCTCAAAGCCACAAACTTAGGCATGCGCGTAATATGTTTACTCATGAGCACAAAGTGTTTACGCATGCACGTTTGATGCGCATGTCCGCTAGTAGAGCGTTCACCCATGCGCGCTTCTGATAGTGAAGAAAGTGACAGAGAGGTTATTGAAAACGAAAAAATTTTGATTGACAAGTTAGTCTGTATTCTCGACACAGCAATTACAGGACTTGAACAGTGGGACTTTATAACTGAATAAGAAATTATGTCTGTTTATAGAATTAAAGAGAGAGTATTAGCACAAAAAACGAAGCAACTTAAACAACTTACATTGAAAGAAATGTTTAATAAAGTAAAAAAACAAATATTAAGCTTTTTTTTTTTTTGTAAATTTTGATACCCTTTAAATCATAATTGCTGTTTATTTCATAAATTACAGTTTCATATTTTTAATTGTATAATTTCTGCATGCCATCTTACCAGATTTAAATTGATGATCTATAATCCGGAAAAACCCCTAATCCGGAATCGCCGAAGTCCCAAGTAGTCTGGATTTCTGCCTTTGTACTGTATAACTAAAAACAAAAGGTAAAAAAAATTATCTTACTTTCCAGTTCTCCAAATATGATAGCAGGGAGCTTAAACAAGAAATAGCTCCCTCAATGAAGGGAAAAGGCAACTGTAATTTCTTTTTAATCTGTGGAAATATATACATGCGGTACATATGGATTGAAGTAGTATTGTATTGTGGCTGTTTACATTCCAATAACTGAGCTTAAGTTCATAGTTTATTTGGATTTGTTCTGAAATCACTTGAATATGTATGTAGTGGCTACGGGATCCATTGTTTCATCATTATCATCATTTTATGTAGCTGTTCGTGAAAAGCATTTTTCATAATAGAAATTTATGAAAATTTGAAATTTTATGAAAAGCGAATTGTCTGGTTTCAAATCAGATTAATAGATGAAACTTCAGCTTGCTTAATTCTCAAGAAATCTAGTAGATAATATTATTATATTTTTGAGCTATACAAACAATGGATTTATTGTCTGTAGTAATACAGCATACACAAATATTGGCAGTAATTATCTGAAAAGTTGTGAATTATATGAAGTAATGAATAAGTCATTATACGTTTTTTAAGGAGAAAAATAATCAGGAATATATATTTTTTAAGTTTTAAATTTAATTTTTTACCAGTAAATATTAATTATTAAAATGCATTTTGATAAAATGTTACAAATGGTTATTTGTCATTTCAGTTTTGTAAACTGTAGTTTTTAATTTGATTTTAGGAGAACCTGTGCTTGTCAGGGATTAGATTCGGAAACTTGTGGTGCATCTTTTTCTTTTGGTTGTTCGTGGAGTATGTACTATAATGGATGCAAATTTGCAAGGAGCAAAAATGCTCGGAAATTCAAACTAACTGAAAAAGATGAGGTCTGTAATTATTTTTATGATATGGATTTTAAATACAGTTAATCCTTTCTTGGTGACCACCTTTCTTAGACAGTTACTTCTAAAAGTAACCAGTATTTCCTAGAAAATAAATTAACTAAGATATTGAACATTATATTAAGGCAAATATCTGTACAGAAGACCAAATTATGTGGAACAATGAATGGTCATTTTAGAAAAGGTTCACTGTATTATTATTTGTTTTCCTTTAACATTTGTGTACAATATTTTGTTTGATGTTGATATATCATTTTTTTGATGTTGTATTAAGATTTTAAACACTTACATGGCATAATGGCTTTATATATATCAAAACTTAAGATTTATAAGTTAGAAGAAATAAATTATACTATTCTGCGAAAATACTATAAATTGATTTAAAAGTACCATAAAATTTATAACAAAGTAAGATGCAAACTACTAAGAAATTTTGTTTTTTTATTTATTATTTTTTTGAAAAAGTTTAAATTAATTATTAGTTAAAGATTATTATTAGTTAGAAGTGAAAACTCAAATATATCAATACCATAACTATTCATAACTTAATTATTCATATTTTAATGCTCCAAACAGACTTTTCAAGGTTTATTAACTTAAATCATTAAAACTTGTATAGTTAAGAATTTGTTCATTTGAACAATTAAGAAGTACTGAATTAACGTTTTGTTACACAGGATCTTTTGAGCAAAACTGCTATAAGAAAAAGATAAAAGAATAAAAACTGTTTCTATATAATATTTACACTCATTGTCAAAATATCAAGTGATTACCCTAATGTGAAATTCAGTCTCAACAACAAAAATGAAATTTTACAGTTCATCATAAAATTAAAATTATAAAATGTAAAGTGCTAAATAAAATCTTATTTGAAACATAGTTTTAAACTTGTCTATATACTATGAAAAACAATAGCTGATTTAGCCAAAAAGTTTAAACAATGTTTAAAGTTTTGAACATAACATATTTGAAAAATGGCAAAGTGTGTGATAAGTAAATTTATAGAAAAGAATGTAGGAATTATTTAAAACTTTTAAATTCTACTGAGACCTACATATGAAAGATAAAAAGTGTAGGAGACTTAATTGTGAATTGAAATAGACTTAATTTTAAATTAAAATAAAGCCATAGAAAAAATTACCAGCATTTCTGTATGAACAAAAGAGAATGAAAAACTTGGTACTAAAAGTAAAATTGCACTAGTGTTATTTCAGCTTACAAAGAAGGTATTAGGAATGCTCATTTCAGAGTTGCCATTTTCTGTGAAAAGTATCCGATCATCGAAGTAATCAAACTCAACAATGTAATTTGAACAAAAATCTTACCAAGGTAGTTGAAATAATGACGTGTTCATGGAACATTCCATGGAGTGACAAGCCACATTTTTTATCTCACTGGCATGGAGAACACCCAGATTGGTTAAATTTGGACCGTGGAAAATCCATATGCCTTTCCCACAATTCCACTACATTTACCCGAAGTTACTACCTGGTGTGGTTTACTTTCCACTTTATCCTTAGACCATTCTTCTTTGAAGAAAATTGCAATAATATACCTGTAACATGCTCTGTAACAGCCCTCAGATATCTTAATATGCTCAACAGTTTTGTCTCACCTCAGATTCAGCTGTGACAATGCCTATACTGCAGGTCAACCTGAGAACACTGGATATAGTAGAGAGTGTATGCTCTGTAACAGCCCTCAGATATCTTAATATGCTCAACAGTTTTGTCTCACCTCAGATTCAGCTGTGACAATGCCTATACTGCAGGTCAACCTAACTTGAGAACACTGGATATAGTAGAGAGTGTATGCGTCCACCATAAAATATAGTTCTACCATTTCGAGAAGTAATATTGTAAAAAATACACTGTGAAATATGAATACTGTTGAACAAAGAGAACGGAAGGGAAAAAAAAAAAATGTGTGAAATGCTAGATTACGTTGCGTCCAGCATTTTGTTTAAAAATTTTCTAAATCGTGTCAATCATTCGATGATCAGCAGGAAGACATCCCCTTTTTTGACATTATTGGCAAAACTGCAAATTCCAGCATTCCTGACCTCACCCCACTCTTGACGAGAAAAGCAATTAAAGCATTCATTCACTGACCGGGAGTAGAAAAAAGCAATTGTTATGGTATCTGCTTCATTTTCGACATATGTGTATAATTTTCAACCTCATAAAGCTGGAAAACCACTGCATAGTTCCGCTAAGATTATTGTAATGAATAGTTTTTGTCAAATTATGGGAGCATTTTCCTAGTAATTCCGATAATGGTAATGATACTTGTTATAATAATCTTAGCAGGATTGAATACAGTTAAAAAAAGGCCCTTTTAAGAGCCACAACTAGGGCTGCTTTCAAGGGCAAAAATATAATAAATTAAAAAAAGGCAAAACTATAAACAGTTATTATAAAAAGCATTATAAATACAAGCCAACAACTCTTAGAAAATATAATATGAAAGTGTCTCTCCTGTAGCCGAGTGGTTAAATCGCTGAATAATGTAGTTTGAGATTGTTTGAACCCAAGTGAATGGGCTGCAATCATGGCCAGTTTTGGTATTTTTCTCATGTATAAGGTGAATGCAGTCTTATTTCTTTTAGAAAGTCCCCCACAAATGCATTTCACCCCTTAGTCAGATAGTTCTTCTGTGTTTTTCTATATTCAAATCACCTAACCTAACCAATACAAAAGTGCTGATCAATTAAGTTAATTACGGTAGAAGGAACAAGGGTTTCTGTCTAAAGAAAACGATGGCTTCGTGCGGACTTTATAAGGGTAAAGGACTTCTTTTATATAATACACTGAGGGTCTTCTATGCAATTCAGAACTTACAGTCATTACAAATGAACTCACTGCATACTACCAGTGCAGCGAGTTCATTTCATGGAACTCTTATCATTTATCTTATTTGCAGATGATTCCGTCTAAGGAAAGAAATAGCTAGAACTTTTCATATGATATGCTTGTTATTTTTATACCTCGAAGGAAGTGTATGGTTTCTACCTAACTTATACAGTTTTACATGACAAAATATAATTTGCAGATTCTCAGAGAGCTGAATCAGCCAGCTTTTTATAAATTGAGAGATGTAAGAGCAATATATTTTTCTGCTGCGAGGCAAAAGACTAACCTTTCATGCCCCGTTGTGCATAGACATTTTATTCATCAAAGCATAAAAACTTTAATTTATCCTTTTAAATACAAGCAAACAGTCGTTAATTAATATGGTAAATGTCTTAAAAGCAATGAATTCACTTCTTAAGAATTAAATTTTTTATGCTTTTTTAGTTCTTATGTACATTTGCACTTTGTTGTAACTAATATAAGACATTTCTAATGTTATAAATATTTTAACTGATTGGTATAAGATCATTTGTTTCTTAATTTTAATGTTTGTTTCACAGTTTTAAAGTTTTAATATTTTTCTAATGCCTTGAAATTTTTAATGATAAACTCTTTAATTGTTAGACTGCAATCTGAAGATCTCAGTTTCCAGTCTTTTTATTTATTTTAATTTTTATTTTAAGCATAATCAGAAAGATAGGATGTTAAAACTTACTGTAGGAGGATGATTATCTGAGCCTGACTAGAAGTGTATGTGTCTCAGGGGACAATTAATACAGGATACAATTTTTATAATGTCTACTATATAATATAGTCAGAGTTTTTTAAACAGTTGGCAAATTAAAATCAAATTAACGTCTTCAAAAAATAAAAATCGAAAAATTTCCCTCGTCCACTGTTTTGGAAGCAACAAGCTGTGTAAATTCTTAAAAATTAATAGAAATTTAACTTACTACCATATTTTCAAAATTTATATATTTTACTTCTAACTAAGTGAACAGTATTGGGGGGAAAAAATGACCCAAACCTACAAGGAATACATTGTTGGCACTGTTTTGGAAGCAACAAGCTGTGTAAATTCTTAAAAATTAATAGAAATTTAACTTACTACCAGATTTTCAAAATTTATATATTTTACTTCTAACTAAGTGAACAGTATTGGGGAAAAAAAAAAATGACTCAAACCTACAAGGAATACATTGTTAGCTCTTCCATTTCAAGTAACGATTCGGGTTTTAAATGTCATCAAATTCGTATACATCACATTTAAATAATAGTGAAAAATTTCATATGAATTAAGACAATGAATAACATGCCCTACATTTTATACTACAATGAACTATCAATTTCAATTACAGCTTTATTGTATAAAAACATTGTTCTTTAAATATGCTGGATTTGGCAAGAAGTTTCTGAATGTGCAGCGTATTGGAGGAATTGAATCTCCGCAGGCAGTTTGCTGCATATGGATAACTTGAAGAACAGGGTGAAAAGCCGTGAAAAGGTCGTTCTAGCCTTGTTTGTGTTCTCAGGTTAGCTTGTCGTGAAGTATAGTGCCTACTACTTATAAGCAAGATGATGCTTCTCCACATAATGGTCTCTGTGGGCAGATGTTTTTGCAGCAAGATTTAACCGATAACAAGGTGATTAGCTGTTCATTTCCCACTCCTTGGCGTGTTCTCCTGTTCTCATTCCTTGTCATTTTTGATTATGGGGCATTTAAAGAGCATGGTTTATCACTAAAATTTTGCAATTTTGGGTGACTGAAGGATTGTGTAACATTGCAGGTTCAAAACATCACTGACAATCAGCTGTTGAACACCCTGTTCATTGCCTGCACATTTTACACCATAATGAGGGAGCCCACAGTGAACAATGTGCTTTACATTATTAAAACAGTCTGCAACAAATAAACAGTGCTTGTGTTGACATTTTAAGTTTGTTTGTGTTTCAATATAATGCACCTCCTAGCAGAAATTTTTAGTCCGAAGGGCAATTTGCCCTGAAAGACTATTGTTTTCGTTTTGCATTGAAACCTTTAAAAGGCCGTATCACTTTTCAAATCGTTACCACCAAATATTATCACCCTGTATTATATCTGAAGAAATGAATAATAATAAATAATGAAGAATCTGCATAAATGTATCGGGTCAGTCCATAAGTTCATGCGCATTAAGAGTATGCATGGAATTCACTATGATACATTTACAATTTTGAACCTGTTGAAACTTGTCATTGTTTGACTAACATATTATTCAGTTTGTCATCACCTTTCGTAAATATTGAACACATTTTAGTACCCATAGAAGATTAATAATAGATAATCAGTACAAACGTGCTGTGCTACATTTTTTTATTTTTGTCTGGTGAATCTGCCAGGTTTGCAGCGATAAAAATTAATAGTGGACAGGTGAACACACTATTAATGTAAGGACTGCCCAGAAATGGTTTAAAAAATTTAAAGTTGGAAAAAGCAGCATTTATGATGAACCCCGTTTTCAGGACATTTTGAACTGTTAGAACAAATCAAACAATTAATTCAGATGTTTATAGTGAACAACTTTGCGGTCTAAACTCGGAATTGATAAATAAAAAACACCCACGATTGGTGAATATCAAAAAAGTGTTGTTTCATCATGACAACACTAGACTGCATACGGCTCGAATAATGCTGCAAAAAATTAGTGAATTTAATTGGGAGCTCCTGCCACACCCTGCTTACTCTCCAGATATTGCCCCAAGTGATATTAACTTAATTCATGCCTTGCAAAATTTTTTATTTGGAAAAAAATTAAATTCTAAACAGGATGTACACAATGAACTTTCAAGTTTTTTTTTTTTGCATCAAAATTAGAGCCTTTCTACAGGAATGGCATAAAAAAGCTGCCTGTAAGATGGTGAGACATTGTAGATAATGGAGAAAATATATAATTGATTAAAATGTTTTATTTAAAAATTTACCAAAAAATGTGCACACATTTATGGACTGACCCAATATATATGTTTCTTGCATTGTAATAAGACAACGATACCTAGAGCCATTAAATTTTGACTAATGTAATCTTCCATAGAATATGGACATGTGGAAGCCCTAATTTGAATTTGAAATGTGTTTTATTGTTGATTTCATATTTTGCAACATTTCAATGAATTTTTGATTAAAATACTAAACGATTTCAAAGCGAGAAATGGCAGCGTTGTACAGAAAAAACAATTTTATCTCCAGCGCGTGAGACTGCGTATCGAAAATTGTAAAGATATGCTAAGTTTTTAATTATTTTGGGATATTGCTCTTAAACTGAATTTTATGGTTTAAGTGGGAAGAACATGATATTTAATAAATAAAGGTAACACACAAAATGTTAAGAAAACACCCCTTTGGACATAATTTAAAATCTGAAACCTTTCAGATTTTTTTCCCCCTTTCTTTTTTCCTTTTTAAAATTTTTATTTAATTTTATTTATTTATTTAATTTTAATTAAGATCTTTCAACGCATCCTTTGTATAGCTGCAGAGCGTTCTGAATAGGCCAAATTTCATTATGTAATAAACATACAAGAGTTTAGAAATTTCAAAATTAATATTATAAGTTGTTTATGTCATGCAGTATGCTGCAAAATAAATTAAATATTCAAGATAAAGTAATTAAATCAGAATTTGACAATTAACAGTCTAACAAAAAGAAGACCTTTCTTTTGTTTCAATTTTGATGTGTATTCTTCTTTGATGTATGTATTTGATATATACAGATGATTTCTGTATTTCATTGATGTATACAGGTGATTTTGGTACAGTTATGTATATTTATATATATATGTAATAATTCCGGAAGCAAAGAAGAGAATTAGCTTGCAGTTTTTGTAGCTGAGGTGAAGGCTTACAGATGAAGATAACAAAACATGAACTTGACTAATTTCCAATCCTTATTTCCACACATATAAAATCATCTCCATAGATGTTTATCCAATCATAATGAAATCTGAGACATTTCTATGACTCAATCATAATGAAATACGATAAATTTGTGTGTGCATTGATTCTTAAAATTAAGACTTAAGCATTTTAGACGGGGAAGCAAAACGAGGAGACATTAGCAAGGTAGAAGCTAGCAAAAGAAGTGACATAATTAGCTGCCAGGAGTATGTATACCAAATTTTATTTACAGGTACAGCTAATCTATGATTGTTTAGTTAGTAGTGTTACATAACATTAAAAAAAAATCTAGAAAAATCTCAAATTTGAGAGAACAGATGAATTTAGGGGAAGAGCACCAAATCTAGAATGTTAATTTTGAGGTCTCCAATTATTTTTTAAAGCAGTTATCGTATTTTGTTATATTTTACATATGTATATGCACACACACACATATATACATAATAATTTTGATGGTTTTTGATTTAATTATTATTTTTTGATTATTTAATTAATTTTGTAGCATATTGCATATATATATGTAAGATATAAAGAAATACGTATGTAAGATATAAGAAAATACAGGATACGATAGCTGCTTTAAAAATAATTGGCGATCTCAAAATTAACATTTTAGATTTGGTGTTCTCCCCCTAAATTCATCTGTTCTCCCAAATTCGAGATCTTTCCATGTTACATAACGCTACTGGAAAAGCACAACTAAAACTAATGTTAACCAATCATAGCTTGCCTCTACATTTCCATCAAACTTATTATAAATTCTCTTGGCACAATAACTACGTCATTATTCTGCAGCATTCCTTTCCTAGCTTCTGCCTTACAAACATTTCTATTCTATGTCCTCCTTTTTTCTTATTCTAAGATGATAATAACATGCATTTAAAAAATATTGCAGTTGCTTATGGTCTAGAAATATCCTACCTACTAAGAAATGATTTGATATTATGTGCAAAAATAAAGCTTAATAATTTGTTTAGAAATCCAGTTTTTGTTAACTTCATTGGTATACCTTAACCATCAGTCATGATGGACATCGGAAAGCTGTTGAGAGTTCCAGCCATCGTGACTGTGCTTCGAAATTATGACATATGTATATATATATTCTCAAATTTCATTAAAAAATACACCATTTCAAAAAATATCCATCAAAAAGAAGTTGGAAATTATTTTAAGTATTTTGTAAACTATAATTTATTAAAAATATTTATGATTTAATAATTTTTTTGTGTGTCGTAGCCTTCAGTTACCTTTTTCATGTAATAAATATAATTTTTAAATATGTGCTTTTCAGGAGAAAGAATTAGAAGAAAAATTACAGACATTAGCTACTGATGTTGCACATCTTTACAAAAGAATTGCACCAGAATCATTCAACAACCAGGTAAAAAATGCATCTGATTTTTTTATTTTCAGTGAGTAGAGAATATTTGGAAGAAGATACATTGTGAGCAGAAATCCTGCCATTTAAATGTTTATTTCAGTATAAGCCAGTTTTTTTTTTTTTAATTTTTTTTTTTTTAGATTTGTTTATATGTCAAAGAAATATGTTAAAAATGTGAGTATTTTTAAAGTCTTTTGCAAGTAGTACAACATTCAATTGAATCAGCTTATATTCAAGTTTAATAATCTTAGTTAGCATGACAATTTTAAGCGCAAATTGGTGACATCTGTGAATTTGAATTGAATTAATAAAGGATTGTTTACACCCTTCTCTGGACTTTGTCCTACTTATTCTCTACGCAATCTTTTAGGCGTCCAACTGGGATAGCGATTAGCAACGCTGACTGCCATACTGAAGGGCCCGGGTTCGAATTCTAGAGAAGGCATGGATGTTTGTAAATGTATAGTGTCTGTGTGGCATGGGGGCACTTTAAATATGTGGCAAGCCGAAAGTCCTCTCTAGTGGTTGGTGATAAGGGAAGAGAGGTGGGAAACCCTCAGACCCATCCTTCCGGGGTGCTGTCCTTCAAAATTGGGGGTGGAATGGCAAAGTTGTACTGTTGCCAACAACAGGCACTATCTTGCACTCCTTGCCACAATGAATTTCATGGGCTTGTTATGATGTTACTATCAGATAAGTGAGATAAGTCACAACAACATAATCTTAAATTATGATGTTTACATTATTTTTTAAATATAGTATATAAAAATAATAAATAAAATAAATAATTCATAAATTATTCTTGAATTAAGCTGAAATCAGTGCCTATTTAAATCCACTTTCTATTTACTAAATATTCATTATAGAAAATATATTTATTGTAAACATATATAACCGTGTCTTATTTAACACTACATCTGTAATGTTAAATTAATGTACAGCGAAATTCAGAGATTTGGAGATTGTATCCTTCTCTGACGACTCAAATATGCAATTAAAATTTCACTATTTGAGATAATATAGCTTATTATCTTTCCCTTCATTTGCCATTGTTCATCCTTCTTAAATGGCATGAAGGGGAAACTGATTGTGGTATCTTCTGCATGGTAATGAATCTGAATGTTAATCTGTAATAGTTGTAGAATTTTTTGTCAGAAATAATACTAAGATACTTTCACATCCCACCTATTCACCTGATTCTCCCATGGTTTTTAATTCTTTTACTAATAATACAAAATTTGAAGTAATGCTGATTTTTGCCAACAGTATTTTAACCAATGTAATTTTGTGAAAAATCCTAAAGTTTTTATCTAAATTTTGAATATAACACTTTTGTCCAATGAATGCAAAATTTATTCTATTGAAATTTTCAGTTCAGTTTTAAAAGTTTGCAAGTTCATTTTTCTCTGAAAATATTATAAATAAATTTAGAATCTAATTGTTTAAGAAATAATTCTAAAAATTCAGTTCTTGAAAATCTTTGCTTGAGTACCATAATGTAAATTTTATAGTCCTCATCTTGGAAGTCTCTTATAAAAACTGTTGTATGCAATATAAAACCAAAAAGGTTTCTGCTACACATTCATGAAATGCTATTAAAATTAAATATTTACTCATTATAGAACAAATCTTGCTTTTTTTTTTATTTTAAAGCAATGTAAATGTACTCTGTACATTAATAAACTAGAAACTAACAAAATACAATACAGTAACAAAATAACTTAAAAAATGGGCAGGTCTTCACAAAATTAATCAGAGTAAACTTTCATCTTTTTATTTATTTTTTATTTTTTATTTTGATTACTATATGTATTAAATGCGTAATAATAGTAAAAACCATGATTTCAGTATTAGTATTCCAATAACATTAAAATGCAAGTTATAAAAATTACTTGTAATATTTTGAAGTTTGTTGTGACTGTTTAAAATAAACAATGGCATTCAAAATTTTTATATTTATGATATTGTGTGAAAAGCCTTCCCTGAACAAATATGATTATGAAGATTCTAAACCTAATTACTATAATTCATTTTTATAACTTGCATTTTAATGTTATTGTAATACTAATACTGAAATCGTGGTTATTATTATGGATATTATTATACATATACAAGAGAATTACTGAGTGCATTCTGAAATCAAATCTGTGAAATATAAACGAGTAATCATTTTGATTTAAGGATTTTTAATCTGTACTCCATCTAGAATTCGAATAATATGAAAATATCCAAAGCATCTTTTTTTGAATATTGCAAGTACAGTCAAAAGTCGTTGATCCGGACTCGTCGGGACTTCGGCGATTCCGGATTATAGATCATCAGTTTAAATCTGGTAAGATGGCATGCAGAAATTACAAAATTAAAAATATGAAACCGTAATTTATGAAATAAAGAACAATTATGATCTAAAGGGTATCAAAATTTACAAAAAGAAAAAGCTTAATATTTATTTGTTTACTTTATTAAACATTTCTTTCAATGTAAGTTGCTTCGTTTCATGTGATAATACTTTCTCTTTAATTCTATTAAACAGACATAATTTCTTGTTTAGTTACAAAAGTTCCGCTGTTCAAGTCCTATAATTGCTGTGTTGAGAATACCGACTAATTTGTCAATCGAAATTTTTTCGTTTTCAATAACCTCTGGGTCACTTTCTTCACTATCGGAAGCGAATTATAATGACGAGGAACTTGATTTAAATCATATCAAAGACGGAGTACATCGACACGAAATACTACATTTAGTAAGGAATTATAAGCCAAATAAAATAAAAACATCTGCCCTGAAGATAAGGATAGTGCTGACAGATCAACTTCCAATTCATTGCGAGCTGCTGCTTCCCCTCCCCACCCCCGCCGCAGAGCAGTGTGAAATTGATAAACAGATTTCGAAACATACTTTCGCTTTGTAGATCCTTTACATATTAGTAAATATATATCGGAAATTCTATTTGACATAATTGAAAGTTCAAGCTTACTTTTATAAAATTGCTCTAACAGTCTGCAAAAAATAAAAAGGCGGATCCAATTCGAAGGTTAAGAAACAACGCAATCTGCAATGATAATTTTAGCTTAGCTTATACCATCCGTTATACATTAAACACACATGCGTAAGCGTATTATGCACATGCGCACACGCATATTCGCAGCTGTAAAGGTTTTACACGCACACATAAACGCCTATGCGCATGCGTCAACGTCAACTTGACGCATGCGCAGAAAGTTTGTAGCTTTGAGGTTCGGATTATAGATCATTCCGGATTATGGGTGTCTGAATTAATGACTTTTGACTGTGTTTCATTTCACTGCAACTATATACATTTATTATTTATACTAAGTAGATCAAATCAAGCAATTGAAAAAGTCTTAACTCTGTTCAAGTAATCACTAGTATAAATAAATGATTACATAGAATCTAGGTTGAAAAATAAAGTTAAATAATTTCTGATAACCTTTTTCTTTAGAAAGAATTGTCACATAGATGACTAATTACAATTAGAATGAATGCATTTGTCAATTTATTTACTCATGCTATCTATGTACTGTAAACTTATCAAACCCTTAAGTTACATTAACAAACTCTTTTGTATATCATCCCATTTCAAGGATGTAATTATGGCATATACGAGGGCAGTCCAATAAGTACTTAGCCTCACCGCCCGATGGTGCCACAATCGTAAGAGAAATTTATTATCGTGTAGTACATCCTTGTAGACGGCTACTGTCAAAATTTCAGCTATATTGGATTTGTAGTTTTGTTTTGACTGCGTGGTTGTAGAAAGCGGGCGGTCGCGGATTTTAGAAAAATTGAAAAAGAGCAATATCGGTCGGTGATTTTGATTCTTGTTTTTGGAAGGAAAATCGCACAGTCAAATCAAAGAGCGCTTGGATGCTGTGTACAGTGACTCTTCTCCTTCAATGGCGATCGTCAAAAATTGGTTTAACGAGTTTCAACGTAGTCGCGCGTCAGTTTTTGATGAGCCACGCCCAGGTGCCCCAAAAACGGCTACCACGGAGGATAACGTGACAAAAGTCCACGATCTCGTATTGGCAGACTGTCGATTGAAGGTGCCTGAGATAGCTGAGACAGTAGGCATCTCAAAAGACTGCATAGGTCATATACTGCATGAAGTATTGGGCATGAGAAAGCCGTCGGCTCGATGAGTGCCGCGTTTGCTCACTCCGGACAACACGCACATCCGTGAGACCACTTCAGAGCAGTGTTTGATACAGTGTTTAAGCGCAATCCGAAGGAGTTTCTGCATCATTTCATGACCGTTGACAAAACATGGATTCACTGGTACACAGTAGAGACCAAGGAACAGTCAAAACAGTGGACTTTACCCAGCAAATGTGCTCCGAAGAAGGCGAAGACTGTCCCATTGGCCGGAAAGGTGATGGCCACCATTTTCTTGGATTCACAAGGTGCGATCTACATCGACTACCTGGAGAAGGGCAAAACAGTCACAGGGCTCTACTATGCCGAACTATTGGGCCGACTCAACCTCGAATTGCAGAAAAAATGGCCCCATTCGGCGAAGAAAAAAGTGCTCTTCCACCATGACAACGCACCGGCTCACACCTCCGCCGTCGCCATGGCCAAATTGGTCGCATTAGGCTACGAACAGCTGCCCCATCCACCGTATTCTCCATATTTGGCCCCGTGTGACTTCTTTTTGTTTCCAAGCTTGAAAACGTCACTCACCGGGCAGAAATTTGAGTCGAATGAGGAGGTTATCGCCGCCACAGAGACCTACTTTGCAGACCTCCAGAAAATGTATTTTTCAGACCGGTTAAAGAAGTTGGAGCATCGCTGGGTCAAGTGTATCGAGTTGAAAGGAGACTATGTTGAGAAATAAATCGCCACTTTTCCAAAACTTTCATTTTTCTTTTGTAGGCTAAGTACTTATCAGACTGCCCTCGTATGCTATGATGACAGTAGTTTTTGTCAGTGTAAAAGTAGTGAATAAAAATCTGATAACTTAATAACCAGTTGAGTTGTTACTGTTCTAAATGTTTCGGATGCTAAAATTTAAAATGTAATATGTTTATTTTTATATGATAAATGTGTCAAAGTTTCCAAGTTATTTGCTGAAAAAAAAATCATCATTAAATTAGTAATTAGATTGGTAACATTTTCACGTAATTTTGCAAGTTATCCAAAAGTCACATTTATTGAATTCTCTGAATTTGCATTAACATATGTAACCATTAAGGTGATTGACTATTTATATGGACATGAGATTTGTTTTTGTTTTCTTGCCATTTTAAAAAACATTAAAAAAACTTTTTTTTCCTGATCTACAATTATTCTGCAATTAATTTTTATGGGAACTAGATAGTAAAGTAAATTATTATACAAATAGATGAAATACAATCCTTAAATAAATTTCAATGCTTTTGTGCGCAGAGGTTTAAGAAACATGTAAAATGGTTTCAAATTTAGACTGTTTTAAAATAATCATAATTTTACATAATTATGTTGAAATAATTTTTGTAAACAAAACAAAGTTGTTTTGTTTCCTTTGCTAAAAGTCTATTGATAATTTTCTCTATTGTTACTAGTTTCAAATATTGCACAATAGTAATATTAATTAAAAATGCTGTAATCTGTTTTGTACTCATTTCAATAGATTAAAATCCTGCCTTTTTACGAGTACAAAAGTGTGTATTTATATCTGGATATATTTATGTGTTTTATAGCATATATAGGAGATTAAATTATCCATACAATATGTATGCAATTTTAATGTAAAAATATACATTGAAACAAAAAGAAATATGCACACATTAAATGAAATGCATATGTGTGGTGGTGTTGGGTATAAGCTAATACCAGCAGGTTTATAATGTGACAAAATATTCATGTATAGAATTATCATTTTTAATTTTTCAGATTATAGTTTAATGTCAGGAAAACTGATGTAAACTTGCAATTTTGTAATGTGAAATATTTGATTAAAAAAAAAAAAAAAAGAAAAGAAAAACTGCAGTTGTATCTCTTTAGTGAAGAAGAACTTCTTGCATTATGTTTTTTTGCCTCTTGGAAATCAGTAGAACTTTGCTTTAAAATTAAGATGAGCCTAAGGCTGATATTTGCCTATTTTACATTTTGACACTAGCTAGTATTTCTTCCATGTATTAAAGCTTAAAAAAAATAAAGCACAGTGTTTGGCAACTTCTGGAGAGTATTCAAAAAAGAAAGTGATAACTGTCACCATCACCTAACAGTATTGCACTAGAGTACTGCACATCTATGCATTCCTCTAAAAAAAATTTCATTCTAATGGCAGTAACAGGCACAAAACTGAGAATGAGAGCAAAATGGCATATTGATTAGTAACTAACTGTAAGGTTTAAATATGAGAAATGGTATGATTTTTTTTTTTAGCTAAACATCTCAACCATGCTGAGATTATTGTGAAATTTCGGTGGTGTATGGGGGAAGTGCAGTGTGGCTAAGGCCAGCTGAGCTTAGGCAGCTGCCTAGAACACTGATTTTTGGAGGGTGCTTGCAGGGTTGTTCACAGATGTAAACTAAATAAAGATATATTTTGCTTTGAATTATTAATATGTTTGATTTTTTGTGGTGCCAATAATACTGATCACCTAGAGTGCTGAAAATGCTGGAGCCAACCCTGAATGTGATACTCAGCATGTAGTAAGCGGATGTGAGTGTCCCAGTGCAGTTGCACAAATTTAACTGATGCTGACTGGCCAGAAAAGCCATCAATAATGATCATAGAAATCTTGCTGAAATGGAATGAAATGAGTAATAGTAATCATAGAGGGACAGTCTCAAGTGCATTGGAATTGGTGTCCAGATGGACAGTAATTTGTAATAGTAATGACAGTAATTGTCCAGATGGTTAGTAATGAACAAATGCAAACGATGGTTTTGCAATGTGTGAGACAGGAGCAGATCTTATTGCTAGGAAGTTTACAGAAACTGGGTTGTTATGCTGAAAAATAGTGTGATATATGTGTGTCATACTGTATTGTGCATTGTAATAAAAATTTCTTGATTTATGGTAATCAAGTAGAATTTACTTTTGAAGCTCCTAATAATCTGATAATAGGTTAGGTAAAATTTTGTTAGGGTTGTTGATATGGCACAAGGCCATAATATTTATAAATCTATACATACCCATGTGCCATGATATCTGTAAATAAAAAAGTTCCCAAAATAGCTCTTTTAGTGAGATACAACACTTATTTGAAGAGTGACAAAAAGCAATGAATGTGAGAGGCGATTATATTGAATGAATCCAAATTTACTCCATCAATGAATATTTTATCACATATATACACATGTTGCCATTATTTTGTTTTTGTTCCTATAACTTGAGAATTTTATTTTAAATTCTAGGTAGAATACTTTTTTTTTTTTTTTTGCACAACAGATGGTTCATATTCTTAAACCAAAATGTTACATAAAACTAATATGTTTTATGCTTCCAGACTGAATTTGAGCATCAAGCATCCGACTGTCGGTTAGGTCTCAAAAATGGCCGTCCCTTCTCAGGAGTAACAGCATGTATAGACTACTGTGCACACTCACATAAAGATTTACAAAATATGAATAATGGATGCACTGTGGTTAGTAGAATGTTGTTCATCTGTGTGTATCCACATTATATTATGCACTTTAAATTCTGCTTTTCAATAATTCTTACCCTCCATCTATAACTGCATGGAAAACTATTTGAAATGTATTCTTTGCAAGCTTGCATGACTAATATAAAGCATGTCCTTTTTATTTGCTGCGATTTTTTTTTTAACTGGCTCTTTATACACTAGACATTTGACTTCTTTTTTCCTTCCTTCAAAGTTATTATAAACAAAATAATATATAAAATTTTAATGAAAAGTTAACATTCTAAAATATAAATTCATAAAATGAAGATCTGACATCTGTAATAGAGTTTGGCTCAGTATAGTTTATTTCCTTAACAGCTTTAGAGTAAGATTTCAGTGAAGGGACAAAAAGCTTTATGTTTTATATGAAAATTAATTTCTTATTTAACTAATTCACTCAGATGTCAAATGAAATGTTTTTGGAAATTATAATGTGTAATAATTATTCAAATCACCTCTAAGATTACTTAGAATTTATGTAACTGTCAACACATTAGTAGATGAATCAGAATATTTTCAGTTGTTTCATTCATTTTTCTTTTCATATGCTAGCATTGTATTTTAGTTTCCAAAATTTAAATCTAAAAATGTTTGACTATTGCTATGCAATCTATTCTTTATGTTGCTTGTAAATATCTAGAGTAAGAAGTAATATGATACATTTTATAGGTCTTTTAAAATGTTCTGTCAGTTTTATGCAATTTAATTCAGTCATATTTTTATTTAAGAAAAAAGAAAATGGGAGGGCAGAATACTTTATTCATAAAAACAGCTTTTATCACAGTCCTCTACATCTTGTCAATATTTTGGTTACATAAGGATATCATTGTTAAACTGTTTGGTTTCTGAATTAAAAATTTCTGTAATTCTATTTTGAGTTTAATAATTAATGAACATTAGTTACCTAATAAACAGAAAAGGCAATTCTCTATTTTTGAGGTATATCAAGGGTATGTTTAATATAGTACAAGTGGCATTTTTGACAATGAGATCTCATTGTATTATCAAATGTTGGCTGAAGAGAATTTGTTTAAAAGTTTCAACTTTAAGCCAAGACTGATATGAGATAAAGAAAAAGTGACTAATCACAGTGAAATGTCACTTTTGACTTCTGTGAAGGGTATTGTTAGGTTCAGGCAAATGTTGTGTCTGAGAAAAAAAAGGGCAGGAGAAAACAAAATGTTTTTATTTTCTATATATAAGAATGCAGAACTGCCTAACATTTTACTGTTGTAGCAGTACATTGTTTCACTGTAAATGGCTACTGAGTAGTGATAATAATAATAATAAACTGAAAGTTGGAATTTGTAGATGAGAGGTGCTCAGCAGGATTTAATACTTTGTAAAAAATTGGGTCATGATATAAATTCTTATATTTTTTTTACTAGTATGATGTTTAAATGATATAACTATGACATTAGGGATATTTAAACCATAACACAAATGCAATCTAAATAATCTAAAGTAGATGAAAAAGGAATCTAAAGTAGATGAAAAGAGAATCTAAAGTAGATGAAAAGGGGATCTTAGCCAAGTTTTTTAAATCTGTATATGAGCCTGCAGAGCTGTGCGATGCACATTATCTTAAATCAGATGCAGATTTTCTGGATCAGAAGTAGTCTCTTATTAAGTAATGTTGGTTGTTCGAGTAATTTAGTGTGAGTTCTCTGTATTAAACCGCAGTACACAAGATACAATAGTAATTTGACTGTGACTTAATATATCATACTGCTTATACCAATCACTTTGTGAATTTGCAAGTGACCTTTTGGAGATGAAAATATTTGAGAACATTTTGGCAAATTGTCCAAAAGATTATTTATAAAATGCTGGCAGTAATATTTGTTTTTAGGCTACTGTATTTCACCACATTTGTTCGATTATGACAAAGCATGTGAAGATTATCTACCTAATAGAAGGAATGTTTTGGGGAGAGGAATTTCTAAGAAAAATGGCTTGTATCTACTGATGATACTGAATATGAGTGATATGTATGCTGTTGAAAATACAAGTGAAGAATATGCTGACAATTACATTAGTTTTGAAACAGGCATGACATCTGTTGAAACTTTATTGGACTTCATCAAACAATAGAGAGGATTTGAATACAATGATAAAATAGCATATTTCACTGTATATTTGAAAAATCTGCAGTGAAATTTGACAGGTATTTAAAAATTAATTACAGGTTTTCAAAAACAAAGTAAAATTACTGATTTTTTAAAGAAATAAACACATACAACATGCATGAAAATTGGTAGTTTGCATTATTCGTGTTTTTTAATTATCTGTGATCTGTTTCTCCAGCATTAGCCTGGATAATTGAGAGTACACTGTATATATTAAATATGTTTTAATACAATTTAAAAAATTAATACAGCTTGAATTGCTTATCACTATTATTTATAAATAAAGTGAGAGTGCAGTTTCAGGGAAACATTCTTTGCAAGAAAACTTATATCAGAATATAAAAATGTGAAGTAAGGGGAGCTTTTATGTTGTTGTGCATTAGAATTTATAAATAACAAGATTAATATTATACTGATAAAAGAATTTACACTTTTGTGGTTGAAATTATTTCGTCTTTGGAAGTAAATAATGCACAAAAATCTGAGATTTTGATATTCCACTTATCATTGTTCATTCCAATGTATTGCATAATTATGCAGAGTACAGGGAATAATATGCCATTACAACTTATGTCAATTTTTTTTAATTAAGCGCATACTCGAGTGCCAACAATTTTAATACATCAGTCTAATACCTGGCAGATCCACGAGGGAAGCAAAGGACAACAGAAATATGATGGAACATGGACTCCTGTAGGTTATGAAAATATGATATAGGCAATGCACATCATACTTCGTGCAGAGCATTCCACAAATTTGGGTGTATTTTAAGCTCTCAGATTTCTGTGTTTTATAGCCAGTTGCATAATATCCAAGATATATTTTATCACTTCCAGATCTAACGTGAGAATGGCAAAATTTCAAACTAAGATGAATGTTTCTTAAACCATAATGTGGTGTCCTGACTAATGTGTACATTTGATATTGGGAACAGAGTTGAACATTCCCTAGAAATAACTCATTTATTATTATTATTATTTTTTATCTCTATGTGAACATAACGAATGATTTCACTCATTTGATCTGTGTGCGAGATGTCAGGTGTACTGCCATGGATGATACTTAAATACTTTACATTTTTAATATCAGTCAAAATCTTTTCTTTAACAATTCCACCCAGAAGTGAGATAAACTCATTTTGGGTGGCAGGAGACAAAACTTTCATGCTGTTCTGAGATTTCATGGTTGTGACCTTTCGGACTAAGTTTCTACCAAGCTCTAAAACCAGTTACAAAGATAGATGTATTACTCAAACTTGTATCTGTGCCGAAGAGCCTACAAAAAAAAAAAAAAAAAAAAAAAAAAAAAAAAAACAGTATGAGTTTTGGTTTTTAATTGACTATGCAATCCAAGATTTCAGAATTTTCTCGTCATTTAGCTGACAGATATAGAACCAATCAGATGTTAGCTCTATCTTAGTCTTATTTCGTTGTCTCATAACTGAAATAAATAGTCCATCTTTGTCTAGAAAACATTTCATTTCCTCTTTCAATTAAGTCAACTGTTAGATTATCTGGAACTGGGAAAGGTCATTCAGAGATGTCAGAAAACAAAATATTAGTTTCTTCATCTGCTCCTTCTTCCTGTTTGTTCTTTCCTGTTTCTTTCTAATTTTTTTCCTTCTTCATTATGATTATCTCCAAAGTTATTTTCTTCATTTTTGTTGAGCTTTTCAGTTTCTTTGCAAATGTCCTCTGTGATTTGTTCTCCACTTTTGTGACTTCTATCAGAGGTTTTGTTAACTGCAACTTCACTCGTTAATTGAGATAATGTTATTAAGTCTTCTTCTACACTTGATGTCGAAGTTTTAATGAATTTCAACATGGAGCAGAGCAGTAAACTGGACACCCAAAACTTTATTCTTTTGTTTTCTTCTTTGCTGTGCTCCACTTGGATGCTGTAGCATCATGGTCGTGTATGTAAAATATAAAAAAAGTCCAGATTGTTTTAGAGGGAAAAAAAAAAAAAAAAAAAAAAAAAAAAAAAAAAAAATTGCATTATATTTTATTTTGCAAAAAATGTTTAATTTTTAATGTCTTTTTCCACACTTGCTGTTGATGTTGAAGTTTCAACAAATTTCAGCATCGAACCGACTAGCAACTGCACTTCCAAAAACTTTATCCTTTTGTTTTTTCTTTGCTGTGCTCCACTTGGACACTGTAGCTTCATGGTCTTGTATCCGAAATATGAAAAAAGTGTAGGTTGCTTCGAAAAAAGTTTAAAAAAAAATTACATATTTTGTTTTGCAAAAAATGTTTAGTTCTTGAAACTTTAAAAATTAATTAATTAAAACTGTCTGCAGACATACATAAATGCACACATACATATAGGCATTTTCTAAAAACTACTATTTCAGTTGAGAAAAACCCCAAAATGTTAATTTCCCCTAAAATGTCATTTTTTACAATCATAGTACTTTCTCTGTATCTTGTGAGAAACTAGTATAATAATGGGCTTGTTTTATTTTACAAACTCAAAACTCTGCTTACCAAAATCAATATCATAGAAGGAAAAGAAATGATTGAAATTCATATAGATTTTCGAGACTTCACTATGATTCATAATTAGGTCAGATATTAGGCCCTTTTAAAAAACTCAATTTGTATTGGTTTGAGGACTCATTTCCCAATGGCAACAACCCATTTATTTTGATTTTGATTGTCAAATGAAGGAAAATCTTCTGTCTTTTCCGTTTGCACTCGAATCATGTGGGCTATAAATCAAAGCAAATTTATCTGACAAGAATTGCAGATTTCATCAGTTAAATCTTTTTTTTACACTTCCAGGTTCAGTTCCAAAATATGTTTTTTCGCTGACACGCCGCATGTGATCAAGCAAATAATTTTTTATCTCAGAGTATGCGGAAAAAAGACAATGCTACTTTTTCAGAAAGGTATTATCATATCAATAAATTCGCTTTTTGATTTATATAACAAAGTAAAATCTATAAATATTAAATATATTTTAACATCAAGACTGACCCAAGGTATATTAGAAAGCTTATTTAGCTAGATTCAGGGTCTAGGGCATTTTAATGACCATCCATCTCCATCGTACATAATAATTCGCCTAAAAAGGTTGCTATTGCCAAAGAAATTGCCTAAATTGTCGTCAAATACGAATGTTAAGGACTGTGAAGATGCAAAGGAGGCTGATGCATAT